CGTCAGAATGAGAGTCCAAACAGCTGATAAAAACATCACAATAATCCACAAGTAATCCACAGCACTCCAGTCCATCAGTTAACATCTGGAGAAGACAAAAGCTGAAACTAATCCAGCATTAAGACGTTTTTAACTAAAATACTTTGAGTCCATAATTCATAATAACGCTTCCTCCAGTGAAAAAGTGGTCTGAATCAGGAGAGAAATCTGCACAGATCAAGCAGCGTTTAAACAGCTCTAAACACATATGTGGCTGGATTTTGATGTGAGAGACAACAGCAGATGCACTTTTTCACTGGAGGAAGAGTTATTATGGATTATGGACTTTATGGAAAATAAATTATTGATGGATTTGTGTCTTACAAACATGCAGCTTTTGGCTTCACAAGGTGTTTTTATCAGCTGTTTGGACTCTCGTTCTGACGGCCCCCATTCACTGCAGAGCATCCATTGCTGAGACACTGATGTACATACTGTGAACAGCACTGCTTCACACAGAACTGTGTACTCCAAGCAGAGCTGGGTAGATTACTTACAAATTGTAATCCGTTACTGATTCCAAATCACATGACAAATATTGTAGTTAGTACCGTAATTACATTACACATTTTAGGTAATATAATCAGAGTACTTTTGGATTACTTTTGACCTATCTTATTTTATTGCATTGATTTAAATAGGATAATCTTGTACCATATTGATATAAAAATACATAGATTAAGAAAATATATTCTTGCATTGTTATTAACAACATTAAGTGCATTAATCATTATATTATGTCAAGGTTTCCCAAACGGGTTTGTGAAGCAACTGTACGGGGTTTATGAGTTTAATGAAAAGCTAATAGTTAATTAAATCATAAAAATGTTAAATTCAAATAAGTAATTATAAAATCAATCAAAATAAAACACTTACTAAAAAAATTAAATAGAGAACCATGAACATGCAAATGTGATAATTATTAATAAATCTCAGGGGTACTTCAAGAAAATGTATTAGGTGAAAGATGATCAGATGACAAAAAAGTTTGAATGTGAATTTTGAATTCATGAATTTGTGCATTTTAATGTGTTTGAAGACAAAAGCCTTCTAAAGACATCAAAATACATGGTTAAATAACAAATAAAAATGAATGTGTTCATCACTAGTCGATGCAATGTTCAAACACTTCTTGAACCTGAAATGATTTTTGTAAATGCAGTGTAGCACATGACTAATAACTGATCTCTGTGTGAATGTCCACAAAACTGGAAGAATTTCTGAGTGTATATAAACAGTGGACTATTTTAGAAAGGAACATTTAAAAGATGAAAAAGAGGAATTAGAGAGAATCAATAAATATATAGCTATTGTGTAAATAATATGTAATCATGTAATCCATAAAAAAGTAACTGTAGTCTGATTACGAGTATTTTAAAAATGTAATTTAATCTAATTACAAGTACTTAATGTTTGGAATCTGATTACGTAATCCAGATCAGATCAGTTGCCCAGCTCTGACTGTGAGTAGTTGGCAGTATATACAACATAATATCCAATAATCACAGTTAGCTGCACAGGTCTGTGCACTGCCTCAGTGGGAAATCTTCTTCACAGATGTATTACAGTGCTGCCACAGAGCTGTTAGTGATGAGTGTGTTCTCTTTCATGAGGTGTTTCGCTCTTTTCTGCAAGCACTGTAATTGATAAGGTCAGCTCCTGTGCTCTTGTGTCTCGGTCAGGCACCACGTGTCTGGTGGCCCTGCTGTCTGAGAAGGAGCTGACTGTGGCTAATGTTGGTGATTCGAGGGCGGTTCTGTGTGATAAAGACGGTAATGCTGTCCCGCTGTCACATGACCACAAACCCTACCATCTTAAAGAGCGGAAGAGAATCAAGAAAGCAGGTGAGCAGCTGATCTAATGCATTTGTGCTATTGCTTGTGATTTGTGTATTTATTCTTATTGTATGAGCTACTGACTTTTCGCTTGTGTTCAGAAATGTTTGAACTCTACATTAGTTTGGCTTGTGTTTTTGAAATTGGAACTGACTTCCAAAAAATGGAAGTGAAATGTGACAACATGCCCCGTAGGTGTGGGGTACATTGTAACATCTGAGGGGCACGTTGTAACATAACTGTATGACAGCTTAAAACGTTATCTGACCTCATGAACAACATATATAATACAAACTAAAATATTTTGTCAATAAAATAAAATAATTATTTTTTTCAAATAAAATAATGGCGTTTTTAAGAAGTAAAAATAATCTGATTTTGGAGTTTGACAATGAACACATTGCAACCAGGCTTGGGACGGCCCACAAAAACGAGCCAAAATGCTTTACATGTCTTGAAATAATCATTTCTGAACATTAAACATTGACTGTCAGTCTTTATTCACCTGTTTGTCGTCGTTTCTCATTAAAATTCATTAAATAGTGTGAATTACATCTCTAATGTCATAGAATAGCAGATTGTAACGCAGTGTTACATCCGCGCACCTAGAGTTTAGTGTCTTCTGCTAGTTATCAAAGCATTAAAAAACATCTAAACTGATAAATAACAGAGTGGAGATTAAAATAATAGCAGAGTTGTCTCATTTTAAATTTGTTCTCTTTTTTCTCTGTATAATGTTGATATGGTAACTAGTAAATACTGTAAATTTTATTATGCTAGCATGTGTGGAAATATTTAAACCACGTGTGTTACAACTAACCCCGCGTTACTTTGTGCCGAGAGAGAGAGAGAGAGAGCTCCCGCCGTGATGCGCTTTCTTACTATAGGCTAGATTTCTACAAAGTTTATGGCAGATGTGTGCTATTTTTTCATCTACATTATCAAGTGATTCCTGAAATCGCCTGCGCGTTTTCAAATCCACGAAGTAGCCTACGAAAACTATTTTAATTGAAGTATGCCTACTGTTGAACAAATATGATGAAAAAGCACTGCTGCATTATTATAACATCAGTATTTAAAAAAAAAAAGAAACATCTAAAAGCAATATGACCGTCTCAAATAACTCATCGGGCATTGCATTTGAGCATGAAACTAAACACTGGTAATATGCAGCGCATTCAGCATGTTAATAAATGTTAGTATCCCAACGCATCCTATATTAGATGAATCAGATATGCATGTAGCTAACCCAGACATCGACGTGACTTCGAAGCCATGCTTGTCTCTCTTCTCGTGTCTAGACTTTGGACCGCATGCGGGGTGCCGCCCAAAGTGCTGCAATAACCAATCAGAATAGTTTTTTTCCCACGATCATCGTTTTCATGATCGATCGTTGCTGTCACGGCCGAGTGCTTGAGTACTCGATCGCTGTTGCACATCCCTAATGGAAAGACAAGAATTGCAACATAGCATGCCATGCCAGCTGAAGATAATGAGGAAATTACGTCGCTCCCTTTGCCAAGTGCATCCCAAACGACTACATAATGGCACGCACGTGCCCTGCTCACTCCAAAGGGGATAGGGATGATCACTTCCATTTGTACCGTTACGCGTACCGTTACACCCCTAATACATTTACATTTATTCATTTAGCAGACGCTACTTATAGGAATACATCAAGCAATTCATCTTAAAGAGGCAAATAGACACAGGAAGCGCTCGTCATACCAAGCTTCAGGCATTGTTCAAATAAGTACAAGCTAGACGGGGAAAGATGAAAGAAAAGAGAAAAAGAGTTTTTTTTCTTTTAGAAACACAATGTATTTCTGAAATGTCTTCTTAAATGACTTAAAGTGATTGGCCTGCTGAAATCCCACAGTAAGTAGTTTCTCTGCTCTAGGTGGCTTCATCAGTTTCAGCGGCTCATGGCGTGTGCAGGGCGTTCTTGCCATGTCACGTTCACTCGGCGACTACCCGCTGAAGAACCTGAACGTGCTGATCCCTGACCCCGACGTGCTGACCTTTGACCTGGACAAGCTACAGCCTCGGTTCATGATTCTAGCGTCAGATGGACTCTGGGACGCCTTCAGCAACGAGGAAGCCGTGCATTTCATTAAAGAGCGTCTGGATGAACCGCACTTCGGTGCGAAGAGCATCGTCCTTCAGGCGTTTTCCCGCGGCTGTCCAGACAACATCACCGTGATGGTGGTCAAGTTCAAGAAGAGAGGCTCCAAGGCCGCCGGGGAGTGAAGAAGACTCAGCTCTCACGTGTAATAAGGGAACGAAAACATGGTTGAGTGAATGAGTGACTGGATGAATGAATAACATTATGCATAAGTTTAACATTAGATAAAAATGTTTTTTATTTTAGGAGAAGCAATTATTTGTATTTAAATTGAGTATTACAAATCTAAGCAATTACCTCCATATTAAAGGAATAGTTCCCCTATGGAACATAAAAATAAAACTTTTGAAGAATCTTTATGCAGCTCAAAATCATTAGCATTATTCCTCACTCTGATGTTTTTTTTTATTGTTTTTTATCTGTCGTGTTTGGTTTAATTTCACTGGTTATTACATATGTAATATTTTTTGTTTCAGCTTTTGTCTTCTCCAGATGTTAACTGATGGACTGGAGTGCTGTGGATTACTTGTGGATTATTGTGATGTTTTTATCAGCTGTTTGGACTCTCATTCTGACGGCACCCATTCACTGCAGAGCATCCATTGCTGAGACACTGATGCAGTGCTACATTTCTCCAGTCAAGCTTTGCACAATGCACTGATTTCTGAATCTGAACATGCATGAAAAATTTGAGAGCTTTGATGGAGGGGAAACTTTTCAATGAATAAAGACTTAAATGTGGGTAGTTAACAGGGTGTGATCAGTCATTTCTTCATTCAAAACTAATTTTATGTTACAGAAATGGTAATATTTTACAGAGAAGTGAGTCTGTGCTAGTTCTGTTTGAAGGCTTTTCTGTTAATACAGAGACATTTATAACTAGCTGAAGTTAAATTCCTCCTGAATGTGGTGATCATTTCAGAAACATAAAAACATATATTTCAGGAATATCTGACTTATCTGAATATCTGAATAGCCTTGACTTATAATTCAATATGATCACTGGAAGATTTTAATCCAAGTATGTTGCCTTATTTTAATTAACATGCTTTTGTGATGAATTTATTTGCCAAAAGTGTTGTGTTGTCCAGAATTTGTGTTTGCAGTGTACGGAAGTGTCATATGCACATCAAAATCCAATCCATTGATGTCTTTCTGAGACAAAGAATAACAAAATGAATGTTTATATTAAATATTAACACAAGGTGAACATGTAAATGATGCATCTTACTCTTTAGTACATGCCTGAAAAAAGACTTTTCATTAATTAAAATGTTGAAGAATGGTTGAGTACAGTTTGTGTTTGTTTTGTTGCATTAATGAAACTGTTAAAATGGGAACATTTAATGTAATTAATGAAAGGCAAAAACATAAAACTAATAAAAATATATATTGATGAAAGTCCTTGTCTCCAGTGTTATATTTTAATATATCCATTTGCTTGTTGGAGACGGCATGCAGATAGATGGATTAAGTTTTAAATTAAGTTTATTAAGTTTTATTTTCCATAAATCCATAAATCGCCTGCGCGTTTTCGAAGCCATATGAATTGAATTATGCCCACCACAAATATGACGAAAAAAAGCACGGCTGCATTATAATAACATCAGTAATAATAATAATAAATAAATAAAAACATCTAAAAGCAATATAATCATTATCGGGCATTGCATTTGAGCATGAAACTAATCACTGACATGCAGCGCTTTCAGCATGTAATAAATGTTCATGTTAATTAATCAGACGTAGGCTAGCTATTACAACTTTCATCTGAAACAAAGACAGACAGATAGATAGATAGATAGATAGATAGATAGATAGACAGACAGACAGACAGATAGATAGATAGATCAGTTAGAAAAGATATAGCAACCAAAGTCAGAGCAGTCAGTAGATTTGGGCTACAGTAAAAGTCTTTGGCAGAGTTTGGTGGTCTTAACTTGAAAGCCCTGGAGGAGTTAGAGATAATAAAATGCGTCCAGTAATAATAATAATAATAACAATAACAAAAAAGTTTAAATAGCATTTCAGCAAGTTGCCTTTCTCGAGGCCAGTCTGATCTAATGCGTGGTAACGTTACACTCCCCTGCGAGGCGGCGCCGCTCCACCGGCAATCCCAGCATGCACCGCGCCTCATTAGCATAACACATTCCGCTATCTACAAGAGCCGAGCGAACACATTCAGCTCCGGAGAGCTACAAGCACATCTAAATTACTTATAATATCAACACAGAGACATGAGTGCGAACATGAGCGACAGCGAGAAACTGGACAAGCAGCGGCTGAAGAACTTCAAGAATAAAGGGCGCGATCTGGAGGTAAAGCCTCTGTGACGTCGAGCAGATTTACAGCCACTTCTCAAATAACCCTGCGATTATACACCCTCGAGCGCTCATATCACGCTACCCGAGACATCTTTCGGATATAAGCGTTTAAACGAGACTAGATCTGATAAATCAGTCAAATGTGTGATGGGAAGGTGTTAGCCGCGCGGCTAGCTAGCCGTGTGAGCCGTTAGCATCGAGCTAGCGCACGTCGCAGCTCTTCATTAAAGTGTGTTTTTATGAACAGTTATTCGAGTGAGCGCCGGGAAACGCTCGGATCGGTCGTGATTTGTGATTCTGGACTCGGTTTGTGTGGTTATCGTGTCTGAGTCCTCGCAGTGGCCATCATGTGAGTGTTAGCATGAGCTCAGAGCTGGCCTGCTGTACAACAACATCCTCCAGACGCGTTTGTGCTAATCTGGCTCATACAGGCGCGTTATTAAGAGTCCTTGTCATTTCTGAGGTCGCTATGATTGTCTCCTGTGCTCGCAGCGAGATCACTTCAGCTGCATCGCATTTACACAAAACAGCGCCTTAGATACATCAACACTGCGACTCTCGTCTAAACGTGTATGCAAGTCAATAATTAAGAGTATTGGTCGACTTTCTGATGGATTCAGGTTAAGCAGAATGATCCTAAATGGTGTGGTTTTTAATAGTCTTGTATTATCCAGGTATTCACCAGAACGCGTACAGCTCAATTTAACTATTCTATGTGACCCTGGAGCACAAAACCAGTCATAAGGGTCAATTTTTCGAAATTGAGATGTATACATCTAAAAACTGAATACATAGCTTTCCATTGATGTATGGTTTGTTAGGATAGGACAATATTTGGCTGAGATGCAACTATTTGAAAATCTGGAATCTGAGGGTGCAAAAAAATCTAAATATTGAGAAAATCATCTTTAAAGTTGTCCAAATGAAGTTCTTAGCAATGCATATTACTAATCAAAAATTAAGTTTTGATATATTTACGGTAGGAGATTTACTAAATAACTTCATGGAACATTATCTTAATATCCTAATGATTTTTGGCATAAAAGAAAAATCAATAATTTTGACCCATACAATGTATTGTTGGCTATTGCTACAAATATACCCCAGCGACTTAAGACTGATTTTGTGCTCCAGGGACACATATAATGTATGCATACCATTCTGCATCTTCATTTTAAGGGAAGATATTGAGTGAAATGATAAGAAATAAGTGCAGTAAGGGCTGGAAACACATTATCAAGTAAAATGGTCTTTCATTTCTTAATGTCTCTGTGTATGTTGAGAGGGTCACCTTTAGGCCTACATACAGATTTGTGAGAGTTGATTGTTTAATCTAAGGGTGTGTGAGAGATTCAGTGATTAGCATTAATGATCGTTCTGGTTTCTCCCGTACAGACGATGAGAAGACAGCGGACGGAAGTGGTGGTTGAACTCAGAAAGGTAAGATCTGTTCACACTGGTTCAGAATGAGCTTTGAAAGAGCTGTTTTTGTACTAAAACACTTGCTAATACCTGCTGTATTCCTGTAGAATAAGAGAGACGAGCACCTGCTGAAGCGGAGGAATGTGCCACATGAGGATATCTGTGACGATTCTGACGCAGATGGAGATTTCAGAAGTGTAAGAACTATTCTTATTAATCAGATTATTTCATCTAATGTTTATGAAGTGAGTTGAGTTTTCAGTTATTACGGTAATAATTATTTTCTCTTTTTTTACAATAGCAAAACACTTCTCTTGAAGCAATAGTGCAGGTAAGTTGTGTGCTTAAATAAAAGTAGGAAGTAATTAATGATTTTTAAAAGTAGAAAATCCTTTTAATAAGTGAATCTCATGAAAACATATTCAGCTCTTTTTTTTCCACCTGTAATCAAATAACAAAAAATCACACAATGAAAGTGATTCAAGTTTTAGAATCATTATTATTGAAATATATATATGTATGTATGTATGTATGTATATATGTGTGTGTGTATATATATATATATATATATATGT